GTGGTGTCCCAGGTGTGCCCAGGTGTGCTCCCCCCCCAGTCTCGTTGTGGGCGTGGCCTCACCTGGCCGCAGGGCCCAGCAGGTGCGCCTGGGCGTGCCCAGGTGTGCCCAGGTGTGTTTTGGGTGCCCCCAGGTGTGCCCAGGTGCCCCCAGGTGTGTTCTCCCTGCCCCCAGGTGCGCCCAGGTGTGCCCAGGTACCCTCGATGGCGAAGATCTTCTCCTGCAGCTGGCTCTGGATGCCCTGCAGCGCCTCGAAGCTGTCCACGCGGAACAGGTGATCCCGGGCGGGGCCTGACGCGATCACCTGCAGCTCCAGGTGCGCCTCGGGCCGCAGGAACGCGCTGCCCACCTGCGCAGGTGAGGGGACGGACAGGTGAGAGGGACAGGTGGGATGGACAGGTGGGATGGATGGACAGGTGAACATGGACAGGTGGGATGGATGGACAGGTGGACATGGACAGGTGAGGTGGACAGGTGAACAGGGATGGACAGGTGGGATGGATGCACAGGTGAACAGGTGATCCCGGGCGGGGCCCGACGCGATCACCTGCAGCTCCAGGTGCGCCTCGGGCCGCATGGACAGGTGGGATGGACAGGTGGGATGGACAGGTGGGATGGATGGACAGGTGGACATGGACAGGTGAGCATGGACAGGTGGGATGGACAGGTGAGATAGACATGGATGGACAGGTGAGCATGTACAGGTGGACATGGTGGACATGGATGGACAGACGGACACGGTGGACATGGATGGATGGACAGATGGACAGGTGAGAGGGACAGGTGGGATGGTTGGACAGGTGGACATGGACAGGTGAGCATGGACAGGTGGGATGGACAGGTGAGATAGACATGGATGGACAGGTGAGCATGTACAGGTGGACATGGTGGACATGGATGGACAGACGGACACGGTGGACATGGATGGGTGGACAGATGGACAGGTGAGAGGGACAGGTGGGATGGTTGGACAGGTGGACATGGACAGGTGAGCATGGACAGGTGGGATGGACAGGTGAGATAGACATGGATGGACAGGTGAGCATGTACAGGTGGACATGGTGGACATGGATGGACAGACGGACACGGTGGACATGGATGGGTGGACAGATGGACAGGTGAGAGGGACAGGTGGGATGGATGGACAGGTGAACATGGACAGGGGAGAGGGACAGGTGAGAGGGACAGGTGGGATGGATGGACAGGTGAACATGGACAGGGGAGAGGGACAGGTGAGAGGGACAGGTGGGATGGATGGACAGGTGAACATGGACAGGTGAGAGGGACAGGTGGACAGGTGGGATGGACAGGCGGACGTGGTGGACATGGATGGACGGACGAACATGGTGGATGTGGATGGACAGATGGACAGGTGGGATGGACAGGTGGACATGACTGGACAGGTGGACACAACTGGACAGGTGGACACGGTGGACATGGACGGACAGACGGACATGGTGGACACGGATGGACGGACAGACGGACAGGTTGAGATGGACAGGTGGGATGGATGGACAGGTGAGCATGGACAGGTGAACACGGTGGACATGGATGGATGGACAGATGGACAGGTGAGAGGGACAGGTGGACAGGTGGGATGGACAGGCGGACGTGGTGGACATGGATGGACGGACGAACATGGTGGATGTGGATGGACAGATGGACAGGTGGGATGGACAGGTGGACATGACTGGACAGGTGGACACGACTGGACAGGTGGACACGGTGGACATGGACGGACAGACGGACATGGTGGACACGGATGGACGGACAGACGGACAGGTTGAGATGGACAGGTGGGATGGATGGACAGGTGAGCATGGACAGGTGAGAGGGACAGGTGGGATGGGTGGACAGGTGGACATGGTGGACATGGATGGATGGACAGATGGACAGGTGAGATGGACAGGTGAGATGGATGGACAGGTGAGCATGGACAGGTGAGAGGGACAGGTGGGATGGATGGACGGGTGGACGTGGTGGACATGGATGGGCACGGATGGACGGACAGACGGACAGGTTGAGATGGACAGGTGGACACGGATGGACAGGTGGACATGGATGGGCACGGATGGGCAGACGGACGGACGGACGGACGGCCGGCCGCTCACCCCGATGGCGTAGCGAGTGACCGCCATGGCGTCGGCCAGCGCGATGACCGCCGGGTAGTCCAGGGGGTCGTCGAACTTCTCGCCGTCGGTCACCACCACCAGGACGCGCCGCGCGCCGGCCCGAGCGCCGCGGCCGGCCACGAACATCCGCTGCCTGGCGGTCAGCCGGCGGTCAGCGCGGCCGGACACGGCCAGGGGAGAGGTCAGCGGTCAGTACAGCCGGGGGAGTGGTCAGTGGTCAGTGTGGCTGGACACGGCCGGGGGAGTGGTCAGTGGTCAGTGTGGCTGGACACGGCCGGGGAGAGGTCAGCAGTCAGTACAGCCAGGGGAGTGGTCAGTGTGGCCGGACACGGCCAGGGAGAGGTCAGCGGTCAGTACAGCCAGGGGAGTGGTCAGTGTGGCCGGACACGGCCAGGGAGAGGTCAGCGGTCAGTACAGCCAGGGGAGTGGTCAGTGTGGCCGGACACGGCCAGGGAGAGGTCGGCGGTCAGGACAGCCAGGGGAGTGGTCAGTGTGGCCGGGCACGGCCAGGGAGAGGCCCCGGCCGGGGGAGAGGTCAGAGGTCAGTACAGCCAGGGGAGTGGTCAGTGCAGCCGGACACGGCCGGGGGAGAGGTCAGAGGTCAGTACAGCCAGGGGAGTGGTCAGTGCAGCCGGACAGGGCCAGGGAGAGGTCAGCGGGGGCCAGATGTGGCCGGGGGAGTGGTCAGCAGTCAGCAGCCAGCGGGGTCAGCGGTCAGCAGTGGTCAGTGGTCGGTGTCCAGGGCCAGCGGTCAGTGGTCAGCGGTCAGCAGTGGTCAGTGATCAGTGATCACCAGCGGTCAGCAGTCAGTGTCCAGGGGCCAGTGGTCAGTGGTCAGCAATCAGTGGTCAGCGGTCAGCGGTCAGCAGCGGTCAGTGGTCAGCAGCGGTCAGCGGTTGGTGCCCGGGGCCAGTGGTCAGTGGTCAGCA